TTCCAAAGGGAGAAAAGCACTGCTTGTACTTCAGGAAGCCACCACTCTGTACCACCAGGAAGCTGGTTTAACCTTGTACAGAGAGTCTACAGTGGGACCCCCGGGACAGTTTGGAAGTGGTGCACAAAATTGTGTGATACCCTGCAAAACCTTCTTTGGGATTTAACTTCTTATTTAAGAATTAATTAAGTCCTCTTTGGGATTTAATTTCTTAATTAATTCCTTAATGAGATGAGAGAATTGCACTAGACAAATTTAAACTCCCAGCTCTGGTAGTCTGAACAGCAGCTTGAGATAGAGCTGGGCTAATGCTGAGCTCCTCATCCGCTGACAGGCAGGTGAGCCCCAGGAGGGCTGTGTTCAAAGGAAACAGCACAGGTCAGCGAGGTGAGAGCAAGAGACCCCGCTGTTTTTCCTGTTTCCACAGAGCTTCTAAGAGCCTTGCCGAGGAGGCCCTGAATAATTCTGAATCAGGGATGGATGATACCCAGCGAATGACTTGGTGCTTCCTCCTTAGGTCCTATACTTTTCTGGTGTCTGGGCCCAAGTGGGTTTACCTCTGTTTGCTTGGAAGACCAGAGCCGGGGCACTAGCCAGTCAGTCACAAGTGGGATTTCCCTCATGAAAGTATCATGACGAAATATCTTGAGGTTCTTACTTCCCTTTTTCGGCACCTCCCTGATTTTGATCCCAACTAAAGGCATATATGAAAAATGAATTTGAAAACAGGTATCGGGAGAGAGAGCATGGGTCCATTTAGGATTTGTCAGCCTTGACCCTCCCCTCTGAGGGTTGATGTTTATACGGGTCATGTCACTGGGGACTGTTATTTTCTAGCTACAGAGGCAGCAGTTTCTCTGGTTTGCTTGTTTGTTCCCCTTTCTGCTTTCTGCCCTGCAGTTCCCACCAACCCAAGTGATCCAGCTTTTCTTATGATTGATGCTTTTTCATAAAATTTGGAAAATAAATTTTCAGTTGAGTTTTGCGGTGCAAATCACTCAGATTTCAGGTGTTTATCGTATCTCAGTAAGGGTTCTGAATCAACCTAGAGTCTACGTAAAGTTGAATAAAAGAAAAACCAAAACAGGACAACTCAGTCAACATGTACTTAATTTTTAATTAATTAATTAATTTATTTATTGTCACTGGGAATTGAACCCAGGGGTGTTTATTCTTTTGGAACACATTTCCAGCACTTTTTATTTTTTACTCTGAGACAGGATCTTGCTAATTTGCTTAGGGTCTTGCTAAGTTGCTGAGGCTGGTCTTGAACTTTCAGTCTACTGCCTTGGCCTCCTGACTCACTGGGATTACAGGTGGGCACCACCGTGCCCAGTGATATACTTAATTTTTTAAACAACCATAATACTATACTGTGCTTGAATGTTTGAATTTTCATTTGATATTTCTTAAGATACAATGAATACCTTCAATTTGTGAGGGTGATCAGCCCCCAAAAGTACAGAATGAGCAAAGTTCACTTTGCATTTATTAGTTTGTCCCCCAACTTCACTGTTGCTGCTAAGTGCTAAGGTCAACCTTCTTGCCATCTTTGTGATGAAAAATATCCTCTCTGCATATCCAACCTTCAGCCTCCCACACCTGCTGAACTCATTTTAATTTTGAATGCATGGCCTTGCAAGTGATTGCTCTGATTCAGTTTTGAATGAAAGAATTGCTCATTTCCAGACTGTGATAATTATTGTATAAGAGTTAGATTGTTCTATACAAATGAGAGCAAATTACCCATCAGTGATGAAGATAATGGGTAGTGGTTCTCTGATCTCTTCTCATCTGCTCCCATCACATTCTCTCCTCACTTTATGCTCTGCAGATGAAAGAATAATCTTCACAAGCCTTTTTGCTGAGCTGGAATTTTTGTACTGCATGTAACTATGTAGTGATAGTGGCTGGCTAACTGTATAATTTTTTTCTTACAATTTCGAATGAAAGGGTGATTTATTAATTTCATTTAACCACATTGTCAAATTAGAATTTTGTAGAGTTTCTTTGAGTTTCACATAAAATTCAATAAGTGTTTCTTTACTTTTGCAACTTACAATGAACCCAAATAGAGTTGAAAATGCTTGCATCTGAAAATAGAATTCATGAGAGTATTAGCTAGCTCCCCAAACTCTGTACTGGAGAGTGTGTTTCAGAGAATAGAGATATGAACGATCTTTTTTGGGTCTCAGTAAGCCAAACCAATGATTTATTTTGGTAATTAAAATCTAAGGGATCTGCTCAACAGATTGCCTTCTTTAGCACCTGCAAAATGCAGGTTCTCTGGAAAATGGATAGGAGTGAAAAAAATTAGCTCACCACTCAGCTATTCTCTGAAAATTAGTGGTTTACATAGCCATTATAAATAACTGCAAATTCAAATTGTAGCTTCAAGCTATTGATGGCTCTCTGTTCTTGCTTTGTTTATAGTGACATTGCATCTTACTCTAATGGAGTAAAAATTGTTAAATTGTATACGGAATGGAAACACCACACACACGCACACGCACACACACACACAAGAAGTGTAAGGACAGCAGTACTTGTAACTTAGTATTCTTTTTATTTTCATTGCTAATCAATTGATGAACCTGGAAAAGAGATGAAAGCTATTTCCCTCATCATATCATCAATGAAGCATTGATTGAGTTTTTAAGAAACAAATTCTTGTTCACACTCCAATGAAGGCATCCCAGCATGTGTAAATAGTTCCATTGTGTGTTGGTGGCTCATAGGCTTTGTTTCATAAACAGCATAACTTTAGTGGGCACTCAATGTCCCTGAACTTCATCTCTTTAATGAGGCAGGACACCTATTCCACAGAGTTGTGGGTAGGACTCAATGAAAGGGGGTATGCAGAGCCTCAGACTTAGCACCTGGAAGAGAGCCATGTGCTTCCTTTCCTCCTGAAGTGGAGGGAAGATATTTTCTAGAATCCTTTGTGTGTAATTTCCAAATTTCAATGGAAGACTTGAATCAAGACAGAGTAATGGCTTATAAAATCTCTACCGTTCTAAGAATGTGACTGTAGATACCAAAGATTCTCCTGTGTAACTCCATGGCGGACTTCACTATTTTGGTATTTGCATAGTTGGGTACACTTCCATCATAACCTCCACATCCTTGGCTGGTAGAAGCTTGTAAACTACTCATCCATTTTAAAGCAAGTAAAGCCAGGTCCTGTGACCAGGGACTCGACCTTCAAACACCAACTGGGACATTGTTAATGGTGGGAAGAGCATAGTCACGACATTGTGGAAAGTAGTCATCTCATTAATTTCACCATCTTCCTGAGAATGCTCTTCAAGTCACTGAGGGCTTGTCCCTGGGAATGACAGTGTAGCCCACAGCACGGCATCCTCTTGTTTAAGGGCATCATTAGCCTCCAATTAGAGGAATGAAGCTTTTGCCAGGGGACTTCTGATGGGTTCTGACATACAGCTGTTTGCTTTGTGGATATTTAAATCATAGCCTACCCGCAGCCCTCAAATATACGTGAATCCATTATTGCACCCCACGTAAGCCAGTTTGCGAAATGAGTCAGATCTTACTTCTGTTTTGAGGTAGAAATATCACTGATCCCTTGAGTGATGTTAAAGAGATTTATTTTTGCCAGAGTCAAAGCGGTTGATTCACCTGGGTACAGGGGAACCAAAGGAAGCAATCATTTTTGGGTTCAGAGCTGACTATGTCGTAGTGAGATGAAATAAAGATGAAAAATACCTCTTGCAGTTTCCCCAGGCATAAAGGGGTAATTAACCATTATAGAAAACTCTTTGCATATCCATTCTTTACAAGCATTGATTAAGTGTCTGTGTCCTCCCACCCTTACCTACCCTTACCCTCCATAGTGATGGCGACCTTGCAGTGTCTTCAGTTTGTCCATGATTAAAATGCATTCTATCTGTAAGTACTCATGTGAAAATAAATATGTTTTGAATATGTTGAGCAAATTGGGAGAAAGACACTATACCCCTTCAAATTATCATTACAATAATTTAAAAATCAACTAAGCCTATTCCACTGACATATCAATGAGGTCCACGAGTCACTATTATCCACTGTTATTAGATTAAAAATCTCAGGAATAAAGCTCATCCAATTTATTTAGAAAGGGTCGAAACTACAAATGCAGTTAATTAGCATCTGATTTTCTTGATTGCGTGAACATAAAGGGTGGGTCCTCCTGGTCTCTAGCCTTAACACAAAGGACGGATCCCTCTGCCTTCTAACCTTCCTGTGGACATCTAGTTTTGGTCAGCTTATTAATTTTTTTTCCTTTTTTTAAGATATTTTTTAAATTTGTTTTAATTAGTTACACATGACAGTACAATGATCTTGACATATCATACATTTGAATCAGATGGGATCATTTTAAAAGCCAGTTTCTGCTTTGGATACAAGTCTTTGTGTCCTGTCCTTTTTCCTGACAGTTCTCGTCATTGTCATCTTGAAATATATTCAAGGAGGCACCTCTCCAATGAGAAGCCCCGTTAGCTATGGAAGAGTGACTGATTAAGTTATGTTTAAAACATATTAAGTGCCAATGACAAACCAAACATAGTGTGGGCTTGTAATTAGCTCTGGTCAGAAGGGAGAGAGTGTGTGATGGTAGCACAGTGGCATGTTTGGTGTCGCAGTCAGATTCACACTCATCATATGCAAGCAAGATGAATGAGACACAAAATGTGGGCAGGGAATGACCAACAGCTTTGAAGCTGTCAACCAACCTTCTTCATCTGGAGTAAGTACAGTGCAGGAGACTTATGATTTAGTTACCAAACTACTAAACTTTCTTTATGAGGGGGAAGGCTTCTCAAGAGACAATTAACTTGTAGATTCACGAGATGTTCTAAAGCAAGTGGGTATGAGCCAAAGAAGTTGGGAGAACAGAGACGGAGCCCCACCCACTAGCAAGGATATATAAAAGCTCAGGAGTCTCAAGGGACATTCACAATTCAGAAGCTAACTTTGGTGAGATACCTGCAGCCATCAAGCATCATGTCCTTCAACTGCTCTACAAGAAATTGCTCTTCCAGGCCAATCGGAGGACTCTGTGCTAACCCGGTGGCCCCAGTCGCCGCTGCTTCAGCCCGTGATGTTGACTGCCTGAGTGGCATCTATTTGCCCAGTTCTTTCCAAACTGGCTCTTGGCTCCTGGACCACTGTCAGGAGTCCAACTGTGAGCCCACAGTTTGCCAGCCGACGTGTTACCAGAGAACTTCTTGCATCTCCAGTCCTGTCCAGGTAACTTGCTCTAGACAAACGACCTGTGTCTCCAATTCCTGCTCAACTCCCTGCAGCCGGCCACTCACCTTTGTGTCCAGTGGCTGTCAGCCTCTGGGAGGCATTTCCAGCGTCTGCCAACCAGTGGGCGGCATCTCTTCTTCCTGCCAACCAGTGGGAGGAGTCTCCACTATCTGCCAACCATCCTGTGGGGTCTCTAGGACGTACCAGCAGTCCTGTGTGTCCAGCTGCCGAAGAACTTGCTGAGTGTGTTCCAGCCAGTGAATGAATCAAGACTCCATGCCCTGCCAGCTGTGTTTCCAGGATCTCCCAGCATGCTGCCCGACCAACTCCATTGCTGACCCCCATGGACTGCTCTTTGCTGGCTGCTCATTTCGGCCCTGTAAAATTTTTCTGGCCAGCACTAAGATTATTTTAAGGGTTGATGCCTGGTGCTGTGGATGCCTCTCCATGTTTCCGGAGGCTTTACCACCCACAGCCCAGTCCTGATGCTTTTGACATGTTTTGACCTTGCTGCTGTATCTCCTGGCTTCTGCTTTTGCATCTTTGAAGAAGGGAGCTTGTCTCACTATATATTTCTCAATAAACTTGCATTAGTTGGCATTGCAAACATTATGTCTCAGCAGAGTTCTTTATTTTAAAGGGTTTTAGTTGACTGTGAATCATCCATTGCTGAATTGGGGCCTGTTTTTTTTTTTTTTCCCCTGAAGCTAGAGTATGGGTTTAGTCATTGTGTTCCACAAACAAGCAAGGGATTACTTTACGTTTTTATTTATTCAGAGAGTCTCTGACTGCAGGGTGAAGTGAGGTTTGTGAAATTTGATGGGGTAAATTTTCCTCTATATTTTCCGCCAATTTTAGGGGCATAATTGCTTCCATAGAGGAAAAAGAAAAGTTGCCCAAGAAACAAGGTACTTCAGAGAGTTGTAAAGAGAAGGGACAAATGGATTAGAGGTTCAGAGTCAATCAAAGGTTCAGAGTCTTGCTTAATCAGAAGATGACAGTGGAAACCTTTGAAAAGATTCCTCCATGATCAGCTGGGACTGAGGGAGCAGGAGGAAGGAAGAGAAGTCGATTCTCAGGTCCTGAGATTCATTGCATCCAAAGGGCAGTTCCATCTTTATCCTCTTCTCCCTTAGAAATCGGAAGACCCCCCCCAAGCATGCTCTCAGTCAATACCAGTTCCATGTATGTGGGGGTCAGAGAGACTGAAAGAGAATCTCAGGAACATTTGGACCTATTTTAATACTCAGAATCTTATTTCTTGCTTTCACTGATCAAACAAAGCACCTGATGGGTGGGGAGTCCATGAGATAACCCCTTTTGCCTTTATTAGAAAGGGAAAGCTGGCTACTGGTTGGTTTGCTTCTGTCCTTCTCCTCTGTTATGTCCAGAAATACACTTCTATATTTTCTTTTCAGAATCACTCAAGGAAAAATAGAAGCAGGTGGTTTTTACAGAAAACAGAAATGTGTGAGGTACACATACCAGGATCAATGGATGCCTCTTCTCATAGCTGCAGGGGCAGTGCCTCCTAGGGAATCTGACCAGGGGTCTGGTTGCCGGTGCAAAATGTTTTTATTTTATTTTATTTTTTATTTCACTGATGGTTTTTCAGAGGCAAAATGTTTAGATGACTTCTGTACAGATGTAACATGTTCAACTTTTCCCTTTGGCTGTAGGGGTCTCTATCATCAGAGAAAGGCTTTATATGATTCACCTTAATTTCTCACAAAAGAAAGATGTGGTTTCTAGTCACATTGTGTCCATGTTCCCTCTTTTTAATAGAAATACTCTGGCTTTCAGAAGTGTCTGGTTTATTCTAAATACAAATCATGGGGGACTCTAAGTGGCCCTCTCTGAGCTGCGTGATTTTTATCTATTTATTTCAGTTTATTTCACAAATGATTTGGAAAATTCCACGTTCTTCAGAGACTTGGAGACTATTTTTTAAAAATGTATTTCTCTTTTGGTTTTACGGCTTTCTAGATTTCAATAAAATCATAAGGACAAAGATGCTTTCCCTTTCTGTTTTTATTTAAATGGCAAATCCCCTCTAACATAGACTAATATATTAATAGTAAATAATGACTCAGGTTTTACCGTCTGATATGAACAAACTCTCGCTCAGGCTGTTTACAGTGGGAGTGTGAACATTCAAAGGCATTGCAGGGGCCTTGCCAAGCTGTTTCTTGCTTTCATTTCTGTTTGGGGAATCTTTTTTGTTTTGTCATTAGAGCTATTCTATTTGTACTTGAACTCGGAAAGTTCTCTGTGTTCTTTGCCTTATTAAATAATAAATTGACAAGTTTCAAAGTTTGTTTTGGAGAACAGTCTTTTAAAAGATTGGGTCATGATGATTTCTTTCTCTTCTTAGCCTAGGGCCTAGAAATGTAATTTGTATCCAATATCCTATCGCCCTGGGGAAGAAGCACAACTTCTGTGGGTTCCGTCATTTGGTTGCGCCTTAGTTACAGCTCATCTGTGCACCAGGGATACTGATAGCACCTTCTGCCTCTGTTTTCAGGAATACACTAGAATAATATATGTGGAACCCTGGTATCAACTGAGGCCTCCTGTCTCCTGATACTGAAATTCAATTAGCTTTATCTTCCTCCTCTGCTTGCTGGCAGTCCTGGCTGCTTCCAGCATCTCTGGGGACTGTGCTAATGGAGAGGCTGGGGACAGTGTCTTACTTTTGTCTTATCTTTGGCTCTAAGCATCCACTTCAGAAGAATTAGATCATTTTGTGGCTCTTCATCCTATTTTATAGTCTGTTTTTCTTCAGACTCCTCCAATTTAGGCATTTAACATCACTTTCTTTTCTTGATTTCCACTAAGTCGATTTATATGTCTAGAAGACTTTGTTGAAAGTTCGGGAACACAGAGGAGTTTGATTATTTTTTTTATGTGACAAAATATACATAGCAGAAAAGTTGACTTTTTATATATTTTTAAGTGCACATTTCAGTGACATTCATGTCATGCCACTGTTTTTCATAATTTATCATTCCAAATGGAAGCCTCTTGGCCATTATCTCCAGGACACTGTCTTCCTGAGCTCAAATCCAAGTCTCTCCCCTCCTTCTTCTGTGTCTTCTTTCCCTTCCTCCCTCTTTCTGTTTTGTCCTTTCTTTGACAAAAATTGGGGTACCTTGAGTACTGAGTCTGTGGTGGTAAAGCCACTATGATACCTGCTCTTGTGCCGCTCATAGTGGAACTTTACTATAAAGTGAATCACTCGTCTTCACCGTCTTCTTCCTATGACCCCCTTGGGTTTCACTTTTTACTTCCAAATATTTTACTTTTCCTTTCCAGTGCATATGAAGGCTTACCAATGCTACATAACCTGAGTTCTCTGTAAGTGGTGAACATTACACTCTTTCTCTTTTATGGTGTATGCTTCTTTTAAAACTGTGATAAAACCTGAAGTTCTGATCTACATCTAGAGTATTTGACTCTAAATCTGAGAGACATAAAGCTTGGAAGACTTAAAGGAATATAGAGAGACTTGATTAAATGACAGGAATGAATGGTTGAAATGTGAGATACAGTCCCAATCCAGTGCCTTATAAAAGTATCCAGAGGGAGATGAGATTGGCTCTGATCTCTGACCTTAACCTTGGTAAAGTTATACCTCTTTAGATTTTCAGGAAACTCCTACCTGTGCTTGGGAAATTGTAAATACTTTCATGAAAGACTGTTTACTTTTATGAACCTGAAATCTTTACTTACTAAAATCTCAAGTTTCAATGTTTTTTCATAATATGTACTTTGTTATTTTTAAGCCTGATTGGCAGATAAATATCCCAGAATAAGATCCATAGAAATTCTGACAAGTCAAATTGGTTATGAGATGTTATCTGTTCTATCATCAGACATTATTCATGATATATATTTCCTAATATTAGAAGGAATCACACGTAACTTTCCCATATTCATATATGAATACATGACTAGTGAAACTCCACATTATATACAACCGTAAGAATGGGATCCTAATTAGAATAAGTTATGCTCCATGTATGTATAACGTATCAAAATACATTCTACTGTCATGTATATCTAAAAAACTCTAAATTTTAAAAATTATACAAAAAGAAAGAAGAAGAAGAATTACAAAGATCAAATAAATAAATCCTAGTGGCTGATATTGTACATGCATTTGAGACACAGCACTATATATATGTGAAGCACAACTCTTACTATCATCTAGCATGTATATCTGAAAAAGACATTTTATTATGTTTTACTAATTACATAATAAGAGTTATTCAAGTGCACTTGGACTGGTATGTTTGATTTATGCCCTCTTCCCCAACATTGTTGTTCAGACAATGTACAGAAGGAAGAATAAAGAGGATTAGAAACACAGAAACAGATGTAAAAATGAATTTGCAAACTAGAAATACTAAACCTTGGGGATCTGACTGAAGTGTAACTTTTGCTGGCTAGTACTCCAAGTAATTCTATCCTCTTGGTATAATCTTTGTGTACTTTTTTTCCTCTGGATTTTTAAAAAATGTGTACAAGTTTTTTCTGTGGATTTTTAAAAACATATACAGAGTAAGTAAGTTCTGTTCTTACCACTGAATATAATGGAATAAACTTTACTCTCCCTTTAAAAAATAATATATATTTCATATTATAAAAAAATTTTGATTGGGAAACTGTGCCCACTAGCACAGGTAAAAAGCTATTAAAGGCAAACATAATTGCCTTGTGTAAGTTGTTCTGTGCCTTATTATAAAAATGAATGATAAAGGTTATGAGATGGGTAAGAATTCTATTAATGATAATGTTGGTGCCTGTAGGAAAGATGGATGATTACTCTTGATTAAAAAGTGGAGGAGGTCAAGGGCAGGGTTTGTTTAGTGATGTGTAGATTATGTAGTTATATACTTATTAACTCCACCCCAGACAAAAGTTCACTATTGAAATTTCTTCATAAAAAATTACTTTGTCATTTGGGCCTGAAACCCTAGCCCCTAAACTAACCTTTTCTTCCATTAAACATATTTTTGAAAAAAAAATTGGTAATGCAAGTGTTCTTTTTTTGGTTTTAAAATACTTTTTAGTTGTCAATGAAGCTTTATTTTATTTATTTATATGTGGTGCTAAGAATCAAACTAAGTGCCTCACACATGCTAGTCAAGCGCTGTTCCACTGAGCTACAACCCACCCCCTGCAGGTGTTCTTAAAAATATATCAATTACATAATGGCATAGAAACTATTTTGCTAAAATCAACTGTTC